AATATAAATGTGCAATACATTATAAATTTCAAGTGTAATACTACACTCTATGTTATATTAAGATAATAATATAAAAATTATACTTAAAACTTTTAATGTATCTAATCTATTTAACAATAAACTGCAAACATAAAAATCCATAATAATGTTATTTTTACAAAACCTCATTATTATAATACTAGTTTATAATAATTATATTTTTGATGAAGCGTTTTCAAAATTTTAAGAGGTTTTTAAAGAAAAATAACAGAAATAATACTTCTAAACATTATTAAAATATGAAAGTAATTATAAATTATATTTTTTTGAATTTCAATTAAAATTAGTTTAAATTTAAATTAAATACCACTCTAAGATTTTTAATATTTTATTTTCATACAAACAGCAATACCTAAATTATTTTATTTCTGATTTAAAATCAAACTGTAGGCCAAAACAAAATATTTTAGGAATGTACATACCTTAAAAAGTTACCATAAAAACATTTTCTAAATCAAAAAACTAATCAATTTATAATTTAATGTATTTTAAATTGCATTGCATTGTACACTTTTTTCTCTGAATATTTAAAAAAAAAACAATTTATTCTGAATTTGCTATCTGTAATAAAATGATTATCAAAGCGACTTAATTGCTCTGAAAATATATTTTTAATTTTTAAAAATATATTGTACTATTAAATTCAATGCAATAATATCATCGATGCCTTTAACATTTCAAACGAAACACACGTATAATACCAAAATGTATAATATTATGTTATTATTAAGTAACATGCGCTTGGTGAAACACCGTGGCACGACGCAACAATGACGTCGAAGAAAACTATGCTACCTCCGTCATCGTTTCCTCAATAAATTATTATGCATATTTAACCATTAAAATATTTCGTAAAATTCAATTATTCGATTCGAAGTTAAATAAACCACAAGAATTAGACGAAACTGTACGGAAAAAACCTCCTTTATCAACATAATAATATGATATTAATTAATAATATAAGATGAGTACGTACAAGTCCTACACAGCGAAAAACATTTTATTTTGGTTTCAATGGTTTATTTTCAGAATTGACTATCAAAGTACACTGTTTAAATAAATTATGTAAGCCAATGTTAAATATGTTTGCAATTTATTTAGTTGTTGAGTTTAACGAATTGTTTCCGTAATCTGTTAGGTAGTATTACGATGTCATGTGATTTGCTTGTATGTAAACAGTAAGATGAACATCGTTCCACGATACACTGATAACAATCAACTCATAAAAATGTTTTCTTTGAATAGATACCTACTTACGGTATATCTCTAAAGGAATCACTAAGTCTTAAATATTTCATTTTTTTTAGATGAGTTATTTAATTCATTGGATCAAAATGTCAAATAATATTTTTTTAAGAAGCACCTATTTAGTTTATTACATTAATAAAATACATTGAATTTTAATAATACTTGATAACTTATAAATCATAAGCAGTAGTTTTGATGAATAAATTATTACACATAAAATCAGTAATAAATTATAGATGTATGTCAAAAATTTAACGAAAACAGGCCAATAATAATTTATCTGTTTACTGAATAGTCAATATAATACTTGTATTAACTAATGTCTAATACTTAAACTACGACATATAATATTATAAGTAGTAAGATTGAAAAAAACAGATTGGTGGCAATAAATTTTAAAATGGAAAAATAATAAATTAATAACTATTTTTTTAGGTATAATTTGAAGAGATAGTTTTCAAATTGTATTTGAAATAATTGATTGTTTAACATATTTATCAAAAAATTGTGGTAAGTAATAAAAAATGTTGAGGTTTAATTGAAATTTAGCAGGAAATTTACTTGAATTATACTAATGTATGATCAATTTAAAAAAAATATATGCTTTCAAAACAATGTTGTACAAATTAAAACTTTAGTTCATCATGGTCAAAAATTAACATAATGTTATTGCAATAAAACATCAACATTTCAGAACATCTTAAAAAAATCTATTTTTTTTTTTTTTTAACTTTTAGTAATTGAAATAATGTAAACTGATATAAATGATAGAATAAATTACAATTTTACTGTAGCTAAAGCAAAAAAAAAAATAAAAATAAATTTACAATTTTAATCGTAGTTTTAAAGATTTTATTCAAAAATGAATACAATTTATAAAAATATTGACAAAATATGAAAATCAATTCATTTAAAATTTAAAAAAAATCAAGTGTTCAAACATTGAATCAATTGTTTCGTTAGTAAAATAATTGTCATGATTTACAACTAACAAATTATAATTTTATAACGAAATATTAATTAAATAAAAAAAATATATGAGTATCCAGAAAATTTTCTCATACCATATTTACAATTAAAAAAAAATAAAATAATATTTATTAACGTGTTCCCTATAAGAAAATTTTAAAAATAAAGTATTTCACACACCCTATTTTAATAAATTATTCTAAGTTGTAAATATTTGAAAATGTCAAAAAGTTTGATTTTTTTGTATTCATAAATATTTTGAACATTTTTACAACAATTTTTTGTATACATGGTAAAATAAAAAATAAATTGAATAAACTGATCATCCAAAGATCTCAAAAAAAAAAAAAAAAATATTTTCTGGTTAAGTACATTTTAAGATTTTACCCTCGACCACTAAAATTATACACAGATTGAGTTTTTTTTGTAATGACAAAATATTTAAGAGTGTATTATACTATGTTTATAAGTTTATTTGAACGAAAATAATCTTAAAACACAATCGACGATGGAGTGAAATCAATAACTATTCTGTTCTTCAGGACAATACCTATAACCATGCTATTAGTATCTGTGAATAATGAATATCGAATAATAACCATTAACAAAATGTTGTATTTGGACTTCTTCACGATCAGAATATGCTGTTTATAAAATTTATTATTTTCAACGATGGTGCATAATTTATATCCATTAACTACTAAGCTCTAATTATCAGTAGTTAAATATTCAAATATTTTATACCTATACATTGCATATAATGCAAAAATATATGTAATTATTAAAAAATTAACTTCAGCTTAAACAAATAAATTATGATCAAAAAATGTATTTTAAAAAACAACTTATATTAGATCAAATTAAGTATTAATTAAATAAACTAATCAATTAGATGATTCAAATGCATTAATTTTACTATAAAACTGTAACGGTACTTAGTTTTTTTTTTTTTAATGAAAAATATAAAACATAAAACATTTTATAGTTGTTAAAAAATTTTGAAAGAAATGTGTGTAAAGTAATTTAATTTCATGTATCTTATGGTTATATTTATTAAGATAAAAAATATAAAAAATATTTAACAAGTGTTTTATATAGATAATCGTTTATATTTATTTTATGATAAATTAGTCAAAATATTCTATTGATTTTTCTTGTATAATCGTCTGAATGAAATATTTTCATAACTATCAATTATTTTAGTAAAACATGTATTTAAATTAATTCGCATACAAATAACACTCATGATTATTGTATATATTATATTAAAATTTATCTAATGTATATACATATTTGAATTGCTTTTTTTAAAATTGTATAATAATGCATATACCAATCTGAAATTTGCAAAAAATGCAAAACATAGATATTCAATGCAATATTAAATAGTGTACCGATATATTTTCCATTTAGAGAGTTTAATAAAATAACATAGATAAAGAAGTATTAAAAATGATCAATACTTTTCGACAAAACCGATGAATAACCTATAGTTGCTATTACTATTATAGTATTTCAATAGAGGGTATAAAAATCTTTTTTTTTCAATTCCTTTTTAGTCTTTTTACCTAAAAACGCTGATGCTAACCGTTGGTAAGAGGTTTGGGTATTTTTTTATTTTTTTTTTCACAAACTCTTGCCTAAAAATAAATTACCTACCTATTATGTGTCGTTCACGCATACGCACACGTTGACAGTAAAATTGTAAAATTTCCATTTATTTTTATTTTTTTTTAATAGCTCTGGCAATGACTGTAGAGGTCAACCTTTAAAGGCCGGCATGTTGTTGAGGCTAAACAATAATAGATGTGTACACCAACAATAGTCTGGACTCTGGGGGATTTAATTCAAATCCACGACCTTTGTTCCATTTCAATTCGCGGTGTTGCTCTTTGCAATTATTATTTTTGCTATATAGTATATACGATATACTTTCGAAAAAAAAATTCCTGACTGGACGCCAAAAATAAACATTTTCACATGTTTATAGAATAACAAATTAGTATAAAATAGTGCATAGTCACAATTTCCGATTTAATATAATAATGTTAATATATTGACAATATTATGATGAAATATTTTTATACTTGCAATTTAATCTTGGTGGTATTATAAAAATAAAATTCTTGAAAAACATTATGAAAAATATTAAATTATTAAAATAGTTATATTTATAACACTAATTATTACGTTTTAGTTAGATTCGAAATTAATTTATAGCGAAGCATTTATTATTAATTTTACATAAATATCTTAAAGTGATCCGATTTGATTTTTTTCATAACGTGAAAAGCCCATACATTTTTATATTAAATATAGTAATACTTTAATAAATAAATAATAGACATTGGTGAAATTTATACTTTCGATAATACTTACCACGATTGTATCAGAAGTCATAATATTATATTATATTATAGTGGATTGAAAACATACATATTAGCATTTTATAGTTGGATTCCATAAAGTTATTTATATATATGTACGGTTATTTTTATAATATAAGCTCATAAAAAAATCACCAAGTGCCAAATATTTATTTATTTATTTTTTTTAACACTAAATATCATTTTTATTTTAAAAAAGATAATCATTATTAGATATTCTGGTTTTAAAATAGAATATCACAACGGACATGGCAACGAGATAAATTCTTCTTAATTTTAGGTGAAATAATTATCAAAATTTTTAAATAATTTTGATTTTTACTTAAAAATAAAAATTATTACGTCCAAAGTACTGACCTGTTTTCTTTTTTTAATTCAGCGATCAATTTATGAAAATCTCATCATCACGTAAATATTTTATTTTGTGTAAAATAACTTACATTAGCGTAAACAAACGGGTAGAGGAAATATATAATTATTACCGACGACTTTCCCGCAACGATATTAAAGGCACACTGGATACAGAAAACTTTTCACGGTTTTCCCTAGTTTTCCGCAGCGCTCCCTATACTCGAAACACATAATCTAGTGATAGGTGGTTGTTAAACAAATACGGCATTAAAGTTGTACTCACATTTTTTTGGAAATTATCGTTTTTCCAATAGAATAGATACCTATGATAATTTTTTTTTAAAGCCTGAGGTTTAAACTTAAATATTTTATAGGTACAATAAAATAATTATAAAATTTATACATCATGATTAATATTTATACAAATTTTACATTTACATTAACGATGAACACATAGAAATGTCAAACAATTTCGTGATAAGTACATATTATAAATCATATGGTTATATTTCATAGTTAAATGATGTGTTCATAAATATATGTTTTTGATTCTGATTTCTGGGTCAAGGATTTTGACTTAGTCTTGTAGTGTGATACATAAATAGATTTTTTTCATTTTCCTATTATTATTCATAAACTTTTTTAAATATAAAATAGTTTTTCAAGGACTTACTGTTTATAATTTATCGGTAGGAAATTGAATATAGTTAGTATAAATACTTTTATATATTGAAATATTATCTATGGCCATAGAGCCTGTTGAAAATATTTTATAATTTATCGGTAGGAAATTGAATATAGTTAGTATAAATACTTTTATATATTGAAATATTATCTATGGCCATAGAGCCTGTTGAAAATATTTTAAGAAACATATGTTAGTACGAGATAAAATTTTACAACGAATGACTATCCTACATTAAAGCGAGTGCTGTTCACTCGAACTTAGCCGTATTTCAAGATATGGTCTCTGTATTATGTCATATTTATATCAATTTATACTGAGTCTATTGTTAAAAAAAAATAAAGAATACATATTATTATTTAATATTAAGCTGATAGATAATAAAATTAAAATAATACATATTTTTAAATTAATAATGAAATAATTTTATTTCGAATAATCAAATGTTTTATTTGTAAATAACCTTCACCTAACAATTGAACGAATATAACTTAGGTCTAAAATTATCAGATAATATTGAGTACTTATAACAATATAGTGGTAGAACATTATTTTACGCAATTTAAAAATAAATACAGACATGAAATATAATACCTACAGACTAACTGAACCTAGTATTTATTTTATCTCACTCTTTATTGCTTATTTTAGACCAGTGTTGTAAATAATATTTTTATTTTATTTTTTTAATTTGTAACTAATGAATAATGTGAAATTGTCTAGTACAAAATATTGATTTCTGGTGTTACTGTGTGGCTGTTAACTATAAGTTGTAATGCTCTTAATTTGTACATATTTCATTTTTTTTTTTTTGAAATTTAAAATAAATGTTTAAAAATAAGAAAAAATAAGAATGAAACTAAAAAAAATTTACATAGTATTATTAATAAGTTATAGACATGTGTAAATATAGTTATTTTTGAATTATTTAAGTTTCTAGGTCAAATAGAAGGATAATTTTGAGTAGCTTCTATTTACTCGAGATTGCTTTTGCTTACACGTCTCACTCTTACTTATAAATATAAACATATTGATTATTTACAATGAGCATTAAAAATAATAATAAACTATAGGTAATCTATTGAATTACTTTTCATATGAATGTTAGTTTATAGCTAATATAAATATAATGAGAATTTCAAAATGTTAGTACTACACTAAGTACTATCTAGATAATTTGTTTTATTAATTTATTTTGTTCATTAGACTCAATTTAAATTAAATATTAAAATACAACAAGAAACACGACATAAAAGAAATTATACCGGGATCAGTGAAAACACAACTCAGATATTTCTTTCCACCACTTAAGTATGATAATTACAACACATAAATAATTTTTCTGGTATTATTTTATACAGACAACATAAAAACATTTTCAAATTAAATTTGCGTTTAAAAATCGATAAAATTAGTAATATAAATTAAATTTTCTAACAATATTAAGATATTTTTCGTAATACGTATAAAGTAAATATTTATATATATATAACCAACATACATTTTGAACAAATTCAGTTAATAATCTTCTATAGTTTAAACAACATTTTCCATTTACACATTGCATTTAAAAAGATGATATAAAAGAAAATGTAAAAAAAAAAATGGTAAGTAATTTAGGTAGTTATTTAGTGAGATAACCCAACCAAATAATAATACTATTCAGAATATGCAAAAAGCAAACCAATTAATTTTTTTGCAATACATACTATGCATATTGTGCATATACACACAATCACATATTATTATTATATAGGTAAACAGAATCATATACAGTCAAATTCACTTATAACGATCTTCAAGGGACCTAAAGAATGTGATCATTATAACCGAACATAACTATACCCGAATTATAAAAAGTAACTTGATTTTTTTTTTTTGAAAATTGACTTATTAAACATATTTTTTAGTGTATTATTTTATTTAAGATTACATATTTTAACATTAAAAGTATTTATAAATTTTAATAAAAGTAGTACACACATGCATAGTGTATATATATATGTTTACTATTTGTTTGAAAAATAAACTGTTATAGTGTTTTGTTTATAATTTGAATAAGATTTTTTAACAAAATTAGAAATACTTTTTAATGCCAGTGATACTTCTGACGTATTTATATCGGATATACGACAATAGATAGCGGAAAATTGATCGCGCGACAATTGACCGCTTGCAACAATTGATAGCACAATAATTGGTAGTGTCATAAAAAAAAATCAAATAAAAACCCAATTATGTCATTATTTATTATTTATAACATTTATAATACATAGAATCTAATTATCGGTCAAATGTTGGATTATAATATGCAAGTTATTAAAAAAACTTAATCATATATAAAAATTAATAAAACATTAAACTTGTAATTGAAAGTTATGCGCAATACCTCGGAGATAGTCTTCAATTGGTCTATTTTCAAAATCTAAACATATTTTTTTAAGTTTATCACTTCGGTCTTTATACATTTTTTTTTTTTTTGTGGTTCGATCCCGGCGATTCATTGTTCAGCTTTCATATGGTTCACTTGTTCTTCCTTTTGCAACGCATTAATTAACTTCCATATTGATGGATGTAATGACGAGTTTAGCATTGCAGAGAAACAGTTGTGCCATCCTTCCACAGAATTATTAGTTCGTGGTAAGTCTGCAGGTACTAAATTATAACAATTCCATATTTTTATAGGAAAATTCGGTTCTCTTCTTTTTTTTCGATGTACATGACCAATTCATTGTCCTTCAAAATAGTTAATTAATGGCATTAAATCTTCTTCATTTACTAAAAGTTAGTATCCAAAAAAATGTTCAAATGCTTCAATTACTTTATCCTCAGGTACATATGCCAAAGCAGATAACATACGGATGTACAATGCTAAATCTGAATTTTCCCGATATTTTTTTTGTAGCCCTGCCTCTTGCATTTTTTTTTTTTGCATAGTAATTTTTTTAATTGAAAGTGCATATATTTTAATTTTACAATTTTTTAGAGCATATTTGATGATAAATTATAATATAATTTAAAAATTCTTAAATTTCAAATAAAATTAATTTATTACAAATTTGTATATAAGCGTATATAAAGCATTAAGTTCTGAGCCCTAATAATTATAATTTTTTTATTTTTCGCTACCAATTGTTACGCGATTAATTGTCCTTTGCGGTCAATTGTCTCGCGATCAATTGACTGCTATCAAATGTCGCATGATCAACTGTCCGTTATCTATTGACGGAACACCTGACGGGACACCATTTATATCGCTGTTTACCGAAACAAAAGTACGCACTTGATCAATACAAGTATAAAAATAAACTTCCGAAATTGACGGTACTTTAAATAAATATGCCGTATACAATAAACATATCGTTAAGCACGGACTGGGCCACTGTGCTACTGTTCTATAGCACAATGGGCCGCACGCTTCAATTTTTTAATAAGATAATTGAGTTTTTTAAAACAATTAATGAGCAAAAATAAAAAGGTCTTTTTTATATGTCTGTTTATTGAGAATATTAAACCGGTATCCTGCCAGTTCGGGCCTGCGTGTCGTACAAGACACATTATCCCGTTACAGATAAAATTAAGAATTATTGCTTCGAACGAAATCAAATTTACTACTTTTACATGTATTATTAATTTCTATAGTCGAATACAAAAACCCATTATCATTTCAAAATAGCATCGCTATACCCGAATTATCATTGTAACCGATATCGTTATATACGACTAAAAGCACTACACATAAGATATAAAACCAACAAAATATATTACTTGGAATCGTTTTACCCGAAATATCGTTGTACACTGTATCATAATAAGCGAATTAGACTGTAATATAAAAAGTGAAATTGTTTCATAAAAATTATTTTTCGTGACAGAAAGTAGAAAAATTATTAATTATTAAGGACTATGAAGGAGAATATAATAAAATAGTCAACTAAATTCAAATTAGTAGAAAAATTAATACTTGCGTTTAGTGTTTTCTCTGTGAAAAAATTTTTTATATTTTAGAGTATTTCAAAATATATCACACATTTTTCAGTAATTATAATTTTAATTTTTTCAAGATCCAAAATTTAACTATGAGCTAGTAAATGAGGTACAGCTAATTACTTAATTTAACTAAGTAATACCCATTTTATAAAATATTTAAGTGTTGATTTCAGTGTTATTAATAATTGTTATTAAAAAAAAAAAAAAATCCTATATTGATATTAACTCAAAGGTACCTAAGTTAAAACGTTGGTTGATAGAGTTGCACATAATATACGCAAATAATAATCATGTTCTACAGACTATTACTATTGCATCACAATGTTATATATTTTACATTTTATTTAAAAAAGTATAAATCTACTCTGACGGTTACTGTTCATTTACCTACGAGCATATATATCGAATCTATCAGATACTGTTTATACATATTGATTCAGACGGATTACATTAATATTTCTTAATATTACGTATACAA